GAAATTAAAATAATTTGGTGATTTTAAGTTATACTAGTAGAAATTAAAATTTTAATTTCTACTAGTAGAATTTTAATTTCTACTAGTAGAATTTTAAATTCTACTGAATTTTAATTTCTCCTGCAACATATATATATATATTTTTTTTTTTTGTAAGAGTTCTTTTGTTACAATGATTGATCATCAATGATTGGTTGTCATTTAGACAGTGTTCGTCAAACATTATATCATTATATGTCTGTTTTATTGTCATATAGACGCAGTGTATCGGCAATGAATTGTTTATCAAGTATGAGTATGTATAACGCTTTGATAATATAATTGATTTTACTATTTTTCTATACAGAAGATATCGTTGAACTGGTCGATTTACCTGATGAATTAATTTTAATTATTATGAACAAAGTCAAACCTAAAGTGCTATTGCTTTGTTCTATTATCACTATTGGTAATAATCGTTTAGAAAAACTTGTACTTGATAAATGTGATTCAATTGATTTAACTTTTGATTATTTTCAATCACCATATAAATGTCTTATTCAACGTTTTTATTCACATGTTATGCCCTGTATCATTAATAATATTCAATCATTAACATTAAACATTCAACATATTCCAAACGTTAGTATTTTTGCTAAAAGAAATTCTAATGGAATTCTTCCGAACTTGACACATTTGAAAATAATGATGGGTAGGCAAAATCCTAAAACAGGCACTCCTTACACATTAGGTAAACTATTATTAAATATGATTTTTTAAACTATGATTAGATATCACTTTAGTTCATTTTCGGCATATGAAACAAGAGAAAGTTTTATCGTTTTAGAATTTAAAAATTTCTTCTTGTCTGTATTTTTGTATGCAAAAGTATTCGATCTGTACACTTCTATTGTATAGAAAATTGCTAGACAGTTTCAGAGATGTGTACCACACCTAAAATCCGAGGTGAAGGGCGACGGTAATCGCAAATCAGCAGCGGAAACAGTCACCCATCTAAAGCCTTTTGCACAAGCGGTGCGATTGCATCGAACAGCCACTTTAGAATTTTTTTTGTCATATTTGTTGCACTATTCTATTTCTTTGGAAAATAATGTTTCATTTCTGACCATTTACATATGAACAGCAATATAAAGTTGAAAGCATATTAAAAAATATTTAATTGGGCAAGATATAATCGAGCAAATAAATAAATATATATGAACTTATACATTATTTGTTTCAATTTTAATCTATTTTATGATTGAATTTGCATAAACTGAAGTTGGAAACGAATTTAAATCTTATATTCGTCACAATGAAATCCAATAGGTTTTCAGTTAGATTGGTTTATTATATGAAGATAATTTTTAATCGATATTAGTTTAGATTTAATTGATAAATTTAACACATGACTATTAAAATGTGATAAACTTTCACAGAATAGAAAGTTAGCTTCGAGATTATAATTTTCCGAGACAAATAGAGGATCACTTTTCACAAAGTGAGAATAAATTAATGAAAAATGCAAGGGAATGCATATTTCTATTAACTAGCGAAAAACAAACTGATCTCAATGCAAGTCTATTTGGAAACGTATAGTTTGTAGAACAAGGACATCCTCTTCGATGGATGTCTAATTAATGGTGATGAGTAAAGGAGAAAGTGTTAATAAAACTAACAGCATTCTCCAAACAATGAGTCCGCCAACTCTTCAATCCCTTTTCTTAACTTTTTAGCGTTTGATAAACATTCTTTTTATATAATTCCTAGCGATAGAGTTTAACAATTGGTATCATAAAGGCGCGACCGTTCGGCAGTCATATCAACAAAGAGGTGAGCGCGGCAAGGCAGTTCTCAGGCGTGATGTGACTGTCCTCCTCTCTGCATCGACGCACGCTGTGCACGTTTCTGCACAATTTAAAGAAAAGAATGATGAATTTACTACATCAGTTTTGACATAATTTACAAAAGTTCTTATAAAACCTTAAGTTGAAGAAAATATCGAAAATTGAAAAATATTATTACATTATAACATTTATATATTTAATTAGGTAACAATCTTTACGGTATTTCACGGTATAATCCTCTCTTCTCAAATATACCTCAATTTGTTATAATGAATAAGAGCAGTTCTGCTCGCATCCTATCTACATTTCTTTGTTCATCAGTTATGCATTCTATTGTATCGTTTGAATTAGATGATGATTGTATTTTACTAAATATGTTTAATGATGATAGTTTATTTTTCCATGAATCAATTCATCTGACTCATATCCGGATAACATTGTATCGATTTGAACATTGTATTTGTTTACTTAATCGATTAAACTCACAATTATGTTCATTCACTGTGAACATTATGTTTGTTTCTTTACCAAATGTTGATATTTTATCTGAAATTAAATCGGTAAATAATATTTATTAATTAAAAATTTGATTTAATTAATTCATTTAGATTTCATGTCCCAATTTGAAACAATTGACAATAACAAGTTATCGCACTATTACTGATTATGAAGAGTTTTTTCTTCCAGTTCTACAACGTTTATCAAATGTTGAATATTTAACATTATTATTAGTTGTTGGTCTTGAAGGGATTCGACCCAATCATTTTATCGATGGATTTGATTTGGAGAAAAATATTATTTCATATATGCCTCATTTACGCGAATTTCATTTTCATATTCGTTCAATATTAAAAAACTCTTCTCATGTAGAAATCAAAACAATTCGTCAAAGTTTTATTCAATATCAACAACAATCGGTTGATTGTGTAATCGATTATTTCCATGATAACTATGGTCAATGTCAAATTTATTCACTTCCATTTATAGGTACTCGTCTTGACTTTATTTCAAATCGATTTCCACTCTTTGATACTAATAAGACATTTTCAATGGTTACCAAATTGTTACTTTACGATGATATTCAACCGTTCGAAAGTAGTTTCTTTGAACGTGTCTCTCGAGCTTTACCTCATCTTAGAACACTCGATGTAATGAATGGACTTGAACAGCAAGAGAAAGAAACAACAACAACAAATAATCTTGAATTTATTAATTTAACTACTCTGATTTTATTCGACATTCATTTGGATTATGCTGAACAATTACTTTGTCGAACTCATCTTCCTTGTCTAGTTGAACTTGCTATTGATAATGACATATTATTAGAAATAATGACTCGAGATCAACAACAGGCAAAAGATAATTGTTCTAGAGTAGAAACTCTACGAACTTGGAAACCATTCTATCATTCAGTAGATGTACTTGAAAACTTTTTTCCACCATATTCCTATGTCAAACATCCGGACGAAGAAAAGATGAAAAATAAATGATTTATGTAAAATTATCAACTATTTGTTTTATTACAATCTTTCTAAGAGTCAATGGAATAGAATTATTGTAATGATCTGTACTGATTTAAATATAATACAAAGAAAAATTAGTTTCTATTTTGCCAAATAAATAGAAAAAGAAAACATTAATCCTATCGTTTATTTTAGTAATGATATATAAGATGACTTTGATGATAGGATATTTTACTGCTTTCTTTATTACAATAAAAGTTTTTTCATATTTCCAATGATAGAAAACGAAACAGTAGTATTATTACAGAATTTCAATGTCTAAAAGATAAAATTCCGATTTTAATAGATTATTTATTAATAAGCTTGTAATTCAATATAATGGTGTTGGTGATACTTGAAGTATTTTCCCAATTACATCAAAGTAGTAATAATGAATATCTTATTGTTATATACTATCTAAATTCATCTAACCTTTGATGATCTCGCCTCATAATACGATGAATTTTTCTCAACAATTAATTTCATCAAACTGGATACTGTTGTTTTTTCTATTTAAAAAAATAAACGAATAATATACTTATTCTTATACATGTTTAAAAGTGTTCGTTGTTTTTAAACATAGAAGTTCATGAATCATATCGTTATGCATACCCAGGTCGAACAGTACGGTCCGTATACGGCCATTGACGGTTACTTTACGAATATTTTACGGGCGAAATTTTGCCTTAATATCTGGCGCAGTAATACGGACCGTATTATCATGAGAGTACGGAGCACAAACAGCCGTAAACCATGAAAATTCAGTCCCGTTTACGGTGCTGTATTACTGCGCCAGGTATTACGGGCAAATACGGCCTATTTACTGTCGTAAATATACCGTTTTGACATCGTTTACCGTCGACAAACAGACCGTAAACGAGTCCGTTTTGATCAACCTGGGTATATGGAAGTGTTCGTTTTCTTTAAATATCTGAATTTTTGAATGCATTATATTCTTCAGGTTTTGATTGAAGATCTTCTAATATAGGTCTAATCAAAATATTGAACATGTCGATGCTCATTTCGATGCATGATAAAAGAATATCTGCCGTAACAGTAGCCGAATATCTTCGATTAAAGAGCATATCCACAGCACCTACACAATCCAATCGACTTAATGTAGATACTTGATCTAGTGTTTGACCATTTTTTCCTGGCTTAAATACACCAGCAGTACCTAAATAAAATTTTTTGTTTATATTTCAGAGAAAAGGTTAAGTTTTATCTGTTTTACCACTCCAAAGAATAAAAAATCTATCGGCTATTCTTCCGATTTGAACAATATGTTAACCTGGTTGAAATTTCACGATCTGGAAATGATCAGTCAGATCGAGATATTTCTTATCATCANAACAACTCTCCATCAATTTTTGTATCTATACTTGTACTCTCCCACAGGGATGGCCAAAACTTATTTTTAACATTGCTGTGGGAGAGTACAAGTATAGATACAAAAATTGATGGAGAGATGTTGCAAAATAAACCTTTGCGGTATCACCAGGAGTTGTTGTTGACTTGATTTTAATATAAAAAACCTAAATATTTTGGGTGCGGAAAAAGAGCTTTATCTGCGCTCGTCCTTTCTGTACATGATAAAAATGAGTTAAAAGGAATTTTTAATTCAGCTACAACAAGTTTCATTGAAATACGATTTCGTTTATCGTCGCATAGATATCTACACTAGAAGAGAAGAGAAACTATATGCACCGAGAAAGAAATAGCAATTGGACTTCTAAGGTGACCAGCAGAAGAAAATATTAAATCTCAACCGAATTATTCACAATTTCGAATGCTAAAATGAATGAAATAAAACTGAAATAAAAAATGGCTAAAATCCGGAAGCCGGAAAGAATCCGAAAAAACTTCAAAAATCCGGAATTTTTCCGGAAAATCCGGAACATCTGGCATCTCTGGTTTCGACCCTGAAAGCATTGTGATGATTCAAAAGAATAGAAAAACAAAGAAAAATGACCTATTTTTCTCTATATCATCTCGGAAATTTATCGATAATTTAACATCGATAATAAATGATCAAGTAACAACGAGATTGTCATGTTATTTTTGGAATGAACTATTTGTAAACATTTCTTTTTTAACATTATCATGTTTATGAGGATAATTAATTTGTCGATTTGATATTGTCGTTTTTGCTAGAGATAATGGTGATGTTGGAAGATTATCAAATGAAGAACATGTTTCATTTTTTACCAAGACCTAATACAATATCATCAGTTATATTTTATTTACGATTTTGTTTTCTTAAACTTTTTGTCCAATAGCATAATCTAAATTATCTTCTAATGCTTGTAAAAATTCTCTTTTAGTTAAATTGTCACTATAATCAACATTTTTTACATTAGCGACGAGTTGTACCAAAATCTTTATCAGTATCAAGAACCTTTTTAACTTCATCAACATCATTTTTTAACCATTCTGATAATTCATCTTCGGTAATAACACAATTTATTTTCATTTTACCATGAGCACTTAGTGTGACTTGAGAAAAATCGATATCTTCTTCATCTTCAATATCTTCGAATGGTGATGGAGTGATTTCATCATCCAATTGCTGTTGCTGTTGTTATTGTTTCTTCACTACCACCATCAGTTCCTTCATCGTCACTATGTTCAAGAAACCATGTTGTTGTTACTTTGTTAAAAATAGAAAATAAAAAAAAACGAAATTAGGAATGTATTATTTACTTGTTGATAGAAGATTTAGCTGATTGATCAGTTGAATCTTTGTTGTCACTTTCTTTTTCTACGTTTAACACGAGATGTGATGGGTTTATCAGGTGCTGTTGTTGTATTTGCTAATTTCCATATATAAAGTTCATTTACTCCATCACCACTACTATCAACATCGTGTAATAATTGATATTCACGTCATGTAACATCCATACGATTGAATAAATTAAACTCATTTTCACTTCAAGCGATTATCTAGATAAGAAAGATTATTAAAAATGTTCAATACTTTAGAATAGGAAGTAATGATTGTAGAAAACTAGGATCAGCATTATAATTCATCATATGTAGTCCCATTGAAGTCGAAGTAGGAGGATATGAATTTGGAGTAGTTGTTGGAAACTGATGGGTCCTATAGGAGGAATAAAATTTGGATAGAGACTATCAGGAATATTTGGAAGATATGATTGTAGAGTAAGTGTTGGAAAAGATCTTGGAAATCGAACGTATCCATTTGATGATGGAACAAGAGGATTAACTTATGTTTTCTATTTGACCAACTAAACTAGAAAAGATTTAATTATTTAAATAGATTTCGTTTTTGTTTCAGATAAGCCAAAATGGAGACAATGTATGATGATAGTTCTTCTGTTGTTATCTTCGATCCATCCGAATTGGATCATTTTCATTGGAATATCCAAAAAACTCAAATAGCTTCATAGTGTCTTCTTGTTCCTACTTTATCTAATTCAAGTTCTTTACTTAATTTATGTTCATATAAAACAAAATTAGCTATTTTAATTCAAAATCATCTTCAACAAAAATCTTGAATATCAAATCCAACATCTATTGTTCTTGCTGATAATCAAAATAATAATGATGTACTACTATTATCATTTCCATTAATAATATATATGTATGAATGGTTAGTTGGATAAAATGATGTAAATAATAAAAGTGAAGATATGAATCTTAATCAAATTCATCAACATCCATTCGGTCTTAATTTATTGTACATAAAACGATAATGAGAAAAGGGTTAAATATTTGATATGATTCATCGGCGAGCGAATTTCACTTCATCATTATTCGAGTTCTATTGGAAAAATCTGAATAATGTTCGTGTCTATAACTTTTTCTACTCGAGTTCTAATAATTTAGTCTACTGTTATCCATAAAAAGGCTTGATGATTTCTATTTTATCTCATTGAAATTGGATACTTTCTTTCTCAGATAACAAACTTCTAATAAGAAGCATATATGTCTTTATATGAGTGAAAGTTCATATCAAAATACATTCTCACGGTTACAATCAAGCGTCTAAGAATAGTTCAGAAGCACAGTTGAAAACTACAAAGGAAGAACTGATAAAAAAGAAATCTTATTATATTTCTTCAAATCGTAACAGAATAAAAGAAAAAGTTTTCAGGACTATATATCAAGTCGTTTCCATAAGGTTTGTACAAGTTTTAGCTCAATGTTATTAATATTTTTACATACATAAAATCAAGATTTAGAGCGAAGAGCAGTAGGAAAAATAGATTTTAATAAATAAATGTGGAAACTTCGGATTTCATCCGAGAGTTATGTGTACTGCAAAAAGTGCAAGGGATATGTGAGTCATTCGAGAATGTCTGAACACCAAAATTATCATGAGAAACTAGGCAATTTGGTTTCTGAATTCAGTTTTTGTGCATTTTGAGACCTTTTTCAGGCGATGTTTCGTTAGAAAGCTACGATTTAGTTCAAAACTAGTATCAGATTCGGAATCAGCGTTAAAAAACTGAGTCGATTTATATATGTTGTGGATAATTCTGAGAGAAATTTTTGTTTTGAAAAATCCCTGTAATCCACCTCAGGGATGGTATAGTCAAAAATGACAATTTTTTCGATAACTCATCCATTTCTTGACGGATCCTTCTCATCTTCGAACTCGACTGAGATATTAATGAGATCATTATGTGTACAAAATTTCATGACAATTGGATGAGACTTTCAAAAGTTATCGCGTTGCCGGCCGGACACACTGACCGAATCTAGAGTGTACTCATTTTTTTGGAGTACACAAAAAGTTATTAAATTTTTAAAATTTTAAAATTTGTTGTTATTAAGAACAGTGATCCAAATTACAAGAGCCAGCAAAAAAATGCTCCTAATAACAACACTCTATGAAAATTATATACAAAATCTTTTTTTTTCAATCAGGAAGTTTTTTCATAATTTAATATGATTTTTTTTCTGTGAGTTTGTCACCAAAACTTTTTCTCTATTGATGATGCATAAATATCCAGGGATTTTAGGTTAATGAAGTTTTTCTTTTTAAGTTAGTAACAGGTATTCAAAACTAGTGTAGCTAGGAATTGATAAGTTATCTAAATGAAGCAACTGAAGTTCAATGATATTTTAATTGATAGTGTGTAACTTTAACGACCTATTCTTATCTTTTGTTTTTGTCATACAGCCATGAAAGCTAAATTTCTCTTTGCAAAAGCTTGAGTTTTAGATAATGAAGTTAATTTTATTTGCATGATATTGATTGTTGTTCAATGAGATTATATTTATTTTAATTTCGAAAAGTTATACAAAAATATATTCTATGTTTATATAAATAAGTTCACAACAATTGCAACTGTAATAATAGCTATAGAAGTTGACAATGAAGAAAGCAATAACCTTTCAAAAGTTGACAATTTCAAAATATTTCAGCCGGTTAGATAGAAACTAAATAAAACGACTTAGACTAGTTTAACAAAGTATATCAATCAGAAAAAAGATAGCATCACTATGGATCAATATGCGTAAGTTCATAAAAAATATCATATAACAGTAAATAGCAAGAAATCAATTTTTTATAAAGTTTGAAGAGAAAGAAGAAATAAAACCAATTGATCGAATAAGTTTGACCAAATTTAACAAGTATACCTACAATCAAATGAAAAGAAAAAAATTATATGATGATAATTATGTAGATAGTATTGTGGAATTATTATGAGTACCTTCCCATGTCGTCCTTTTTGTGTACTCAAAAAAAAAAGAGTACACTATAGAATCGGTCAGTGTGTCCGGCCGTCCGTTTATTCGATAACTCTTCAGAATTACATTCGATTGAGCTGAA